TTATTTAAAGAAATTAAAAAAAAATACACACTGGCTTTTTTTTTTTAAAATTTCCCTTCTATTGGGGGCAGGGGGCTTTTTTTGGCCAGGGAAAAATTGAGCGCTATTTCATAAACTTATCCAATGCGGAGTTGATTTGGGGGGGCTTGACAACACCCCCCTTGGCCAAGAGAGTTCATTTCTTTAACGAGAAATACACCAAAATCCTCACCGCTTGCAGGAGAAAAGACAGACCCGTAAGGTCGAAAGTTACCTCCACCATCCTGGGCTTATATCCAAATAGGACTGGGTGGCACCAGCTGACTGCTAGGTTACCTTCTTATCTGAAGAAAACCGGTGAGTTTGGCATAAACACTGCAGTATTCCTCCTATTTGTGGTTGTTAGCCTTTAACGAAGGGGAAAAAAACAAGAGTAAAATACTAGTGGGTGCAGCTTTTGAGTTTAAAATCTAAATTACCCAACTAGATACATGCTTTGTCTTTCTGGACAAAGCATTCTCAAACGTTACCTGCTCGGTCTATTTTCAGGTGGCCCTTTTGGGAGGGGGGAAAGGGAATTTCATTGCACCGAGGAAAGTCCTGCCCCCCGCCAAAGATGACAGCAAGTCTTGTCTTTTTTAGAACCAGAAATTTATTGTAGCTCAGACTTTTCCAAACGTGACCTATTTACCAATATACACATCTGAAATGTTAGACCTGTGATGGCTACAAAATGCATCAGGAAAAAAAAAATTACAGCCTTTCCGTATTAGCATGGGGGCGGGGTGGACATGATTAGGTTTACAGTCTCTAAAATACAGTTGCTAAACAGAGGCGATATAATGGGGGAAAAAGGCTAAGAGATTTTCTACACGGTGACAATAAAACACAGGACAATTCAGACAGAAGTTGTTCCCAGTGAAAAGTCGCACGTGGAAGTCTTCAAAACCAGCTTTTCCCTTGCCTGTTTTATCCATCAACCTTTTTTACTCTTTGCAAGGGGGGATGAGTTGACGGGTGGTGAGTGAAAACGCTCTTGGCTTTCAGAGCCCTCCCGTTGCCAAAGGCACTGTGGAGATCAGGTTGGCCCAAAAGGAACCCCACGCCGCTGGCTTGGCAGTTGAAAAGGTTCTCCAAGGATGTGGGGGTGAGGTAATTCAAGCCCCCCCAATTTGTACAGGCACCCTGTTTTTCAGGGTGGCCTGCAGTGGGATGGCCAGGACCAAATCGAGAACTTTACTCTCCCAAAAAACGTCTTCTGTCACAAGCTGTGTCCCTTACCTTCCTTTTCTCTCCATCAACTTTCTTCCCTCTCACTCCAAAAAAACCCCCACCCTCCACGTTTCTGCAGCTGAAATCCCTCTCCTCCTCCCCCCCTTTTGAATTTTTTGTGCTTTTGACCCTGATCTTTGCAGCCAGTTTGGGCCGATCTACCACGTACCTGGAGAGAAGATGGGGGTGCTCTGTGCAAGATAGGAAACGGGCTTTGCCATGTTGGCCGCGAGCAGAGAAAAGCCATAAAAGCAAAATTTTAAAAAGTTACAACTAACAGGGAGAAGATCCCTACCCACCCAGGGAGAATTGAGCATTCCCTGCTGCTATCAGGGTATAGCCTGCTTTGGGGAAATCATTCTGCTTCTGTGGGTCCCCTTCTAACACGTATCCAGGCAAGGTTTTTTAAATGCTAGGTCTATTTCAATCTCTTGAATCACTCTCTGGAATGTTTATGCTATGGCTTTAGGGGAGGAAGGAATCACATACATTAGGGGTAAACAGACCCCCTTCCCCCCCAATAAAAATAAAAATTAAGCTGGAGAAAGAGACATCCACGCCTCAAGTTACTGTCGCAGGAGCTACAGGAATGAACAGAAGTGTTTAAAAATAAGGAATGGCGCGAGAAAGGAAACCTCACGCAGCAGCTGAGGCAGAACTTGGACCGCGCGGCCTTCTGGATCCGGCATCGTTAAGCTCAACTCCTGAGAACTGTAGTGTAAAATCCAGGGAGGATTAAGTTTCAAGGGAAGCCGGGCTCCTTGGTGCAACTTAAGCCACGCATCTTCAAGGCCCTTCTCGGGCAAGGATACAAACTGAGCTGGGTCTGAAGGTGGCTTCGGAAGGTCCCTTTAGAGTTAGGCCACATTTCTTTTTCCCCAGGAAAGAAGGATATATATATTTTTTTTTAAAAAAGGGAAGAACCCATCGACAGACCTGGCCCAACGTGAAACTGCTGTCAAGTCCACCACCTCTGGTCGTCGTTCCTTTCTCTGCACTACTTAAAAGCTGTCCCAGGCTTCTGCCCTAGGAATTCTGAGAAAAACTTACTGCTATGTCACGCTGCATGATTCGTCATTATCAATATCATCGTCATCTTAAAACCTTAGCACGGTTGCTTCCCCCCCTCCCTCCCCCCCAGCCATGTTTTCACTACCACAAGTGACATAATTACATAATTCCAACGTATTTACAAAATATTAAAAAGTCTGTTAATCTTCTAAATATTGACCCCATTCTGCCATTGTACACATGCACTAGAGTTTGGAAGGAGGGAAAGAAAAAGAGAGGTTTCAAACATTTGCAGGGAGGACCTGAGCCACCGAATCAGCTAAAATCAAACCGAGGTTTTTGTTTTTTTTTTAAAAAAGGCTAAATAAAAAGGCTAACCCTCTGCCAATGAACGAGCGCGGCGGTCTTGCTTCCGCCCCCTCGCCACACACAAAAAGAGGTGCGAAGGGGGGAGCACGGCCCCAGTCCGAAAAATAAAAATATATTAACATAAAGTTAAGTCTAATGTGGAGAAGCCAGAGGGGGAGGCGTTAGAGCTGGGCACGTTTTAGAGGTGTTGAGAAGAAACGCCTCCCCTGCAATTCGTTAAAGCAGCCTCTGCAAGCCAGAAAGAAAAAGGCAGCTGCTTTCAAGAGCCACCTACACTTGAACGAGGGTGGGAATATCGAGGAACCGTTTGCAAAGGGTGCAGCCGGGGTGGCTGAGCCCCTGGCGGGAGATGACTGGGAGCAGAAAGCACAAGGCGATGCCTCGCAAGTAAAAAAAAAATAAAAAAAAATTAGCACAATCCAATCACTGGGGGGCAACCGAAAGAGAAGAGGCACTAGCTACATTTCTACAGGCAGGGATTTTGGAGAGGAGACGCCCGACACACGAAGGGGTGGGAGGGCAGGGCAGGGAGACTGGCCAACTCGACAGGCCCAGGCGACTGTCTCGCACCAGGGACCCTCGGAAAGAAGGGAAGTGGTTTGTCCTGGAGGTCTCTGGACCAGAAGAGCAAAACAAAAAGAAAACCGACAACGAGAGCAGGGAGCGTGGGGCTCAGTAGGGGAGGGTCGAGTCATCCCACTCTAACTGCTGCTGCCGGTTGACGTGCTGGGGGTCCTCCTCTTGCTCGCCCCCCTCCTCCTCCTCGCTGCTCTCGGACTCAGCGCTTGTGATGTCGTCTTCCTCTCCCCCATCTTCGCTTTCCTCTTCCTCCTCCTCCTCCTCCTCCTCGCTGCTGTGCTGGTCCTCGTAGGTCTGGGAAACAAAGAAGCACAAGGTCTCCTGGGACAGCTCTCTCGTGCGGGGGCATCTTAAGAGAGGACCGCGAGGGGGATGGCCACCTTCCCTCCAGCCCTACCCCAGGATTCAAGAAAGCGATCTGATGAGAAAGCGATCAGCCCAAGGAAGAAAGTGGGATGAATGCTGCCAGGCTGATAGAAGTGAGGAAAGGGCACCACTAAGAGATATATTTCGGGTGGTGGGTGTGAAAGGCGGTGTGCATGTCGGGTACAGAGGCTCAGATGAGCATCATGAGCCACCTTCCAAAAAGTAAAATGGGAATGGCACAATTTTCCAAACAGAGTGATGTGCTTCCCTGCCTTTTAAAGGTTGGACATACAGGTCCATAAATAGCTACAGCAACTGTAAAATAGGCTTAACGCTGCTTTTAAACAAAAAGGCACTCTAGCCCACCTCAGAACCAAAACCAAGAAAAAAAAGGGGGGGGTCCAAAATACCAGTCCCACCCACGACAGCTCCAATAAGGACAAATTTACAATACTGGGTTGTTAAGATTACAGATTGGTAGCTCTGAACTCGGGGCGAGCAAAGACGTCCACCACACTTTACCTCCATGGGGTTAACCGTGATGGTCAACGCAGAGTCGTCCCAGTCCATCTCGTTCTCCTTCCCGGAGTCCTGATCCCGCATCGTCCGCTGATGGGCCGCTCGGATCCGGAAGACCCCCAGGATGATCATGAAAACCAGGAAGCTGACGCACACCACGATCACCACTGTGGCGGTGCTTGGAACCACTGGAGACAAGAGTTTTCAGAAGAGTGAGGGAGTTAGCTGTAAGCGGAGGACGGGAAGCACACCGCTGCATCTTTCGCACATACGTAAGCTGAGCAGCCGAGGTGGTAACTCATACACCAGGATCTAGTTCCTAACTGAGATGTGGTTGAATGCATTTTCCACGCAGCTGTGGAACACAAGGTCCAAACACTCCCAACAAGTGACTATCTTGCCTTGAGTAGGTGGCTAATTGCTACCCCTTCTCAAGGTCCGGAAGGTCTCAAGACAGTCGGGGACAAAACAATGTAATTTGCCGCAGCCCGCTGTCAATATACTGAGGCTTGCAATGCTCTGAAGCCATTCTGCAAATCTCAAGAGATCCCAATCTGTTCATCAGGGAGAGAGAAAGAGAGGGGATTCCTAATGTTTATGACACAAACAGGAGTCTGCCATCTAAAGCCTGAGGATGGCTGTTAGTGAATCTCATCCCCTTCTTTCTTAAAGCCGAGAGCAATTCACTCCCTCGCTGAAGGAAAGGGAGGCAGTGGAGAGATTTTCACGCACCAGATTTGCACCCAAATCCAGATCAAGTGACTACCCAAGTCCACCCCGGCTTTGAGAACTCATTTTTAAAAGTTTAAATCCCCTCTGGAGCCTCAGGAGAAGCAGCCAATCCTACTTTTGCAACAGGCACATTTCAGAAAGCTTCTGAAATTTCAGAAAGTTTCTGACCCCAGCCCGAGGACCTGAATTTCAGCACCTCCAAGCATTAAATGCTGCTCAGACCCAATTGGTTTAATGGATCTGCTACCTCGGGGGCAGGATCCAGGGAGGTCTCGCTCCTCAACAGCAGAGGGAGCCTCTCCAAAGCCCGTGGAGCTGCTGGAGGCGGCAATGGGGAGAGCTAAGGAAGGGGTGGGTCCTTACCGGAAAACCCTGGGTGAGGGTCAGCGAGATTGTGGCCAGAGAGGTCAACAAAGGAATGATGGACAGGTTGGACAAACTGGGGCTGCTGGGCGGCAATATGGCTGGCGTGTTCCATGAGGTTAGCTGTGTGGATGACGTTCACCTGGCACACAGAAGATTAGAGAAAGGGGAACATGGAGTTTTAGGAAACCAGCAGTGGGGGAGAGCTGATTTCAATGGGTTTTTTTGGCCTTGTTGTGTTGACTGGTCTATGCCTCCCAACCTGAGTGTCCTCTTCCCAGTCTGCGTGACCATCGTTAAGACTCCTGGGAGTTGAAGTCCACCCATCTGGAAGTTGCCCAGATGGGGAAACCCAGCTCTATGCCTACAGTTCTTCGATAGATAAGGCCAGGAAAGAGACACCACAAGGATTCCAGAGATGCTACTTCATCCTTGTAGGGTATAACAGAATCTTTGCCCCTTTTATACCCAACACAATCAAGATGGGGTTGTTTTGTTTCCTGTTCTTTCTCACAGGATTAACTGGCTGTTTCTTCTCCCTTAACAGCCCCTGCATTCCTTCATTAAAGTTATGTCTACCTTCTCTTACACTAGTAGAAGGCCACCACATGTTCAACTCCTCCATGGGGAAACCCAAGCCCAGGCTCACAGACCCAACAATTCTCAGGCCTACCAGGAGAGGAGACGCCTTCACTTACTTCCACCTTAAATTCGTTGCTAACGTAGCGTCCGTTAAGCTCTGAGCACACCAGCTTGAACTTCCGGTCAAAGAGAGAGACGGCGTGCCAATTACGGTACCGGATCAAGTGCAGAACTTCCTCGTAGCTAGCCATGGTGTCCACCCCTGCGGAGAACAGATGTGGGTCAGCTAAAACAGACGCTGGTTTGGGGGCTGTGGTTCACAAAACCTGTTCTTACAGCTCGTAACCCATGATTTAAGACTTAAGAGTCTTCTGGAAACGTAGCTTGCGGCTTAGGGCAATGTGTGAACCTTCTCCCAGGGGAAGGGATGGGGAAGGCCATACCGGTGAGGATGAGGCCAAGGCCAGAGCTGCTCATTTCCATCCCTTTCTGTTGAAGCCGCACCAGGTCAACCTCCAAACTCTCTTGCTCCTGGTTCAGTTCCTCCCCCAACACCGAGACCTCACAGGTATCCAGATTGTGCATGATTTCTTCTGACACCAAGGATTCTTGGACTGGAAAAGAGAAGAAAGGGGGAAGCTGAACAAGGAAAGAGAGAGAGAACCTGGGATTCTAGGTTTCGGCAAGACAGAGCCACCCATTCATCAAGTTTTCTCCAGGACCGGAATCTTTCCACGAAGCCCGTGCTGCCTATGTCGGACACTGGATGCTTCCCTGTCTGTCTATCCTGTCCTATTCTCGCTACCAAATCCTCAACACTGCTGGATCGGACCCTTCCTCCAGCCACCACTGGCCTGCAGCACTGAACAAAAAGGAGACCCCAAACAATGAAGATGAGCGGATGAGATGAAAACTTCAAAAAATTAACTTTTGCTTTTATTTTACGGCCAACGTGCTGCCTTGTTTCCTTTTGGAGCAAGGCTGCTGCTTCAGAAACAAACGTATCTCTGGATGGCCCCTTCTTCCCTGTTCCATCTCGGTTCGTTCGCTGCGAGGCACGCAAGCTTGCTCGGCAGGCCTCACCCGTCGGGTCCTCCTCCCCCTCTCCTTCCGGTTCGACCTCCCGGGTGATGGTGCTGATGATCCGAAGTTCGGGGAAGAGAGACACTCCCTCGGGACTCTCAAACTCCGAAGCCGAACGGGCGAAGTGGTTAATGCCGCTCAGGCTGATCTTGGGTTCCTCGGGTTGCAGGACCATGACGTACCCCTCGACCAACGGAATGGTGATGCAGGCTTCGTTGTCGGCGCACCTGTAAAGGTAAGGCGTGGTGGCCATCACCATGGAGGACCCGGCTGTTGATCGGGCTACATCTATACAGCGCCTGTCTTCAAGGGCTTACGTGGGAATCCCTCTTGCTGTTCGCTCCACAACAGCAAGCATATGAGGTCAGTGGGGTGAGGGCATGAGACCGGCTCAAACACCCAGTGGGTTTCCATGGGTGAGAGTAGATGTGGACCCAGGCCTCCCTGACACTCGTCCTTCAACACCCTCTAGTCCTGACCCTTGTCATTACTCTTCAAATTATCAGAGAATCTTCCCCTATTTCTATTAATGCCTCCATTTCCTCCCTTGTTTCCCTGTTATCTATTTTAGATGTTCAGGTCCCCGGGGGAAGTGCCATTATGCCTGTTCTACACAGAGGGCCTCACATTACTAACAGTCCTTATAAGCTGAGTCTGCACAACCCACTCTTAAAAAGAGTAGTCTGTCTTTTACCGCGCAACGTGAAACCCAGCCACTGTCATGTGAACTCGGCCACTGTATAAAGCCACAGCCTGGTTGTCTGGTTTGGGCACAGTTTGCAAATACAGCAAGCGTGTCCTTCTGAACTTGAGTTTAAAATCTGATATGAATCCAGCCAGAACTTTCCCAGACCTAACAGCCCCACACTGAGAGGCCAGAACAAGGTTGAAAGGCCAACGTTCTGCCCCAGGAACCAAGCCCCCATTGCAAGGACTCACTTCACAGTGCTGGTAATTTTGATCCTCCGGATGCCGGGTGTGGGGAACTGACGCGAGTTCAAGTATGAGATGCGTTGCATGGCTTTGTCGAACCGCTCGATGTCGTCCCCTTCTAGGCTGAGGGCTGACTGGCTTGGATTCATGTGGATCTGAAATGAAGCCCAAAGAAGCCGTGAGGGGCTGTGGGCTGCTAGGAAGGGAGCAGGTTAGTGAAGAAGGGTCAGCCCTAAACCGGGTCAGGAAACACAAGGACTACTAGAACTCTAGTTTACTGCAGTAGGTAAAATAACAAAATCTTAAAAGCCTGCCAGAATTTGTCTGTCTTCTCTTATATCACATAGAATCAAGGTGAGGTATTTTAATTCTCTTTCTTACACTTAATACTTTCCCAGAGCTGAGGCTGCATTTATAATCTCTTTTATCCTGCCTTTCTTCGCTAATGTTATCTTATCTTCCCTCTACAAAAAATAAGGATTCTCCTGTGGTGGATGTTGCAAAGGCAAGTTACTAATAGCGACTTAATAATGAAATGCTAGGTGTTACTAACTGGCTCCGAGAATGTAGCTGAGACTCACATGGGAGCATATCTGCTTCGCCAAAGACTTTTTTTTTAAAATCCCTCCAGCCTTGGCAGGTTGAGCCAAGAAGGCGATAAAATTTTGTACTGACAGTTTTCCATGCCCCTGAACAGCTTTATCTCTGCAATGCCTCAATTTGTTTGTTCTCAGGGCAGTTTCCCACAGCGAGGGAGGGAGAAGAAAGTCCTCAAACTGCTTCCTTGCAACACAGGAGAAGTCACAGCAAAATTAGAGGACGAGGGATGAATAAGAGGGACCATCCACGCTGTGTGGGTAAAACTCTCCCAAATTTTAACTGGGGGGTGTCACCCAGCCCTGCCTGAGCTGCTGGCCCTTGGACAATGGCAAGGCTACCAAAGTTACAGAAAACAAGAGCTTCGAAGCAGCACAAGAAAAGCCACCTTCCTTTACGTTAAAGCAGCAAAAAACATTTTAAAGGGAATTCAAGTTCAATTCCCCCGATCCAGTTGTGGGACTTCACCTCCCAGAATTCCTAGCACTCCTGGCCAAGTGCCCAGGGATCCTGGGAATTGCAGTCCAAGCAATCTGGAGGCTGTTCTCTGCTATCTTGGCCTTGGCCCCTTCTGCAGCAGCAGCAGCCTGGGAGTACCTTCAGGCCTTTCCCAGCACCATCGGTCGTTGGCAGGTCCAGCCCTTCCTTGCAAGTATACAGACAATCAATCACTTTCTTGCTCTCCAGCTTGCCAGAGCGGATGATCAAGCCAGCCAGGTTGCCTCGGAAGAACTGGGCCATCCGGAGGTCGCCACCTTAGCGGGGAAGGAAAAGCAGCTGTGTTTAGTCCTGGCGCTTCCCTGCCTTTGGTGTGGTGCCCCTCGCACACCGTGCTCAGCTGTGCTTTCCAATGGCATGCAGTTAGTGAGCGCCCATTCCGGAGTCCGACTTGCAGTTATGCTCAAGCGCGATGAGGGGGGAGAGAACATAAAGATGCTCGTTCATGCAGTAAGGGCTAGGGGGCAGGAATGGGATGAGCGAGCTCCATTCTGGAATCAAGGGCACGTCCCTCCAGCTTCCTATATTTTAAGACATCCTGTCTGAAACGGACAGATAATTACAACTGGTGGAAAGGTACGCCTTCTTCCCAAGAATCAAAGGTCTAGGATGAACATCGCAATGATAAGGACTTTCTGGATCATGGGGGAATGCGATGGCGTTTGCTACATTTCCACCCAGGCCTGTAATCTGTTCACAGATCTGTATTTTTACTAAAATATTCCTGGAGACCATAGAGACTGCTCCATAATACCATCTAAATGAGCATTTCTCAGCTGTGGCAACTTTAAGATGTGTGGACTCAGTTGCCAGGGCTGAAAAACACTGATCAAGACTGACAGAGCCTATCAGATCTGGAACACTGTCTGTTCCAGTAGTCCTCTCCTATTATGACACACTTTTACATATCCTTTTTGTTTAAAAAATCCACCCACAAAGAAAATACTTTTGGAAACAACTGCTTTCATAGGCAAATATATGCAGATTTAATTGACAGTCAAAAATTCATCTTATTAACAGCTCTCATCAAAGCTTTAGGCATAATTGCAGGAGAGCCACCCTCTACTTTGGCTTTCAATGTCACTGTTTAAGTTGATAGTAATTAAAAGATCTTTTTCTTCCTGATGCAGAACGTCAGGCAAGATGCAATTTCAAATTACACGAAGGATTATCTCAAACTGGGATGTTAAATGCACCAAGCCATTCCCCCCAAAACTAGACATGCTGTCAGGCAGGTGAGCCAGCAGGTAACACAGCCACCTGCTTATCAACCAGCAAGGCACCAGGATGTGCAAAACAGTTTGGGCACCGACCATTCTATGCATCCCCACCTATCCTCACCAGCCTGGCCCTGTAAAATCCTGTTTGGAACCAGAACCTCGGAAAAGGTTTCTGCTGAACCACCACCAATCCAGAACGGGTTTGGCAGAAAGCCCAGAACGTGACACGTTTGCCTCAGATGTGAAAAAAAAATACATTTTCCGTCTCATGCATACCTCTACAATTTATCCCATTCTCTCCTTTTTATGGATCTGTTAGATCCTGCCTTTTCTCCAAGGAGGCTTCTGTGGGGATCTGCCTTCCCTTGGTCTCCACAAAAACAACCCCACGAAGGAGACCGGGCTAAGAGACAGATGTGGGCCCAATGTCACCTAGTGAGTTTCTGTGGCTGAGGGTCCCCCATGGGTCAGGAAATGAATGACAGAGACTTTGTTTTGGACTGGCTGTCTAATTCCAAGGAAGGGAGCTATGGGCCAATGCAAACAGTCACTGTCCATAACAGGTCCTGCTCTGCAATAGCCACCACCCAGCAAGGCAACAGAGATTTCTCAACCTACTTCATTTCAATGCCACCTCCGTGGCTTACCCACTTGCATATGAATGTATGATTGGGTGTTACTGCTAAAAGAGGAGTGGGGAGATGTCGTGGGGGGGAACCAAAGAGGAAGTGAATATAGCAGGAAAGTGCAATGGGAAAAAACAAGCTCGGCGACGTGATTATGCGTCCCTCCAATGGCCGTTATGCAATGCTGGCCTTCATGCTATGTGTGATGGAGCAACGGCTTGCCTTTGACACGAAAGCATTAAAAAGAAAAATTAGACCGCCAGCAACCTGCAGAGTTCTCGGTCGCTTTTTCGGTGTCATTCTCATTTCCCGTATATTCTGCGGAGAAGCAAGAAACAGGGACGAGAAGAAAAGAAAGGGACGGGTGGGTTAGGTAGCGCCTGGACGTTTAACCTGTCGCAGCTCACGGCCTGCCCCTCTCGGCATTCAGTGGGAAACCAGGATCTGCCAACTGCAAACAGAGGCAACTACTTCGCAGGACAAGGAGCAAGCGGTGTTCTAAACCCTGTTTTCGTTTCCAGCCACTGCCAAATCTCAGCACCTTTGTGGGGGGATCCCACAGATCTTCTGTTGTATTCCTGAGGACATCTTCTGAAGGACGTGGCCCAGAACCTGAGCTACCTGCTAAGTCCTCCCCACAGGGAGAGAACAAACAACAATAAGGTTGATCTCTCCCTCTTTCTGCCGTTAAAGTTTTTGCCATTTTTTGACCTCCTGTTGGGAACCAAGCCGGGAGACTCGAAAGACCTGGGAAAGAGATACAACTCTGGAGACAAATGCTAACGACCCAATTCCCCCAGTCAAAGGCAGAGGCGTTTCAGAAGGAAGAGTTCAGGACTAAATTTCATTGCAGAACAGACCCCAGTCTGAGTGCAGGTCAGCATCAAAAGTCACTGTTAAGGAGCGATCAAGCAACCCTTGATATTCTTCAGGAACTGAAGGGACACTCTGTCCCTTAGGTTTTCCTCTCTTGTGCGTCACAACTGGTCGAAGAGCCTTCTTTGCACAAGTCTAGCTGAGGTCTCATGGGAGTGTCACCCAGAAGGGCCCAGCTATCTTATCTGAAAGCCTCTGGAAATGAAGTAAGTTGGACTGATTTTTTTTTTTAAAGCAGGCTTTTGAAAGCTGAAGCAAAGAGGGGGTTTGGTAGAAGATTTGATCACACGTGTTCAACCATAAAGTTCCCTAGTACAGAATCAATGCCAACTTCTCTGACTGCCATCAGATCTCCAAGCATTCTCAGCAAAACAAGCCAGGATCCTTTTCACTGGAGATGGTGAAATGAAATCTAAACTCTTTGCTTGCCAACTACTTTCTCAGGTCTTCCTCTCATATTTCCTTCCCTTTTGGCCTGTTCCACTGGCAAGGTCAGTATGCAACAATAAACCATGATTATGCTACACCAAAGCTTAACCTCAGATTTGCAAGTTTCTCCTTTGCCTTGGGAGGGCTGTAAGGCCAAAAGAGAGCTCGGTTTCATTGTCACAGAAACCTGCCCTGTCATTTGGTGTGATCCAGAAACTATGGTTTAAAAGCAATTCCAGTTTATTAGATAAGCACTCCAGAGTTTGCAATGACCTTGTGGAGGAACTCTCAAGCATTTCTTTTAAATGAGTTCCTGATTTGCATCTAACAACAAGCCAAAAAGTAGCTAAAAGAAAAACTGGAATCTGGACTGATTTCTCCTCTGCGGTGGTTCAGGACGAGAGGAGAGAAAAAGGGGATCGTCCCCATATTCCTCTTTCTGCCAAAGCTCAACACTGTGCTAAACTGCTGTCTATTGTCTTATGTTTCAAGATTCCTGCGTGAGTCTACGATGGCACCTAGCAGAACAGAGACAGAACGTGAAGAATGATGGAAAAGAAAAGGACATTTTCTCCACTGACCTGATAAAGAAGTCCTTCAAAGCAGTCCTGAAAAGAGGAACTGTGCAACTAGGGGGAAAGGTTTGGGGGGGGGGAAGGAAAAATTACACTGCAAAACTGTTGGTGTTGTGCATCTGTTCTTAGACTAATCTGAGCATCCATTTTCTGAGGATGCTGATGAGGAAAAAAGCCTTCCGTAACCTTTGATGCTGTGACTCAGCGTTATGCAGCCCCCGGGGAATGGCTGTTTTAACCTGCTTTGTATGTTAAACCCATCTGCTGCTCCATTTTTTTACAGCCCCCCCCCCCAACAAGTCTCCATCAAATACAAGCCCAGCGTTAAGTGAATTATCCTGGCAAAATTACCCAATCAACTCCACTCATAAAACCTATCCCTGGAAAGACAGAGCAAGCAAAAAAGATTCTCACAGGAGTTTCTGGTTTTATATCTATTCTAGCTTCTAACCCAGTTCGAGAACCACAGTTCTTCGTTCCAGGTTTTTCTTCCCCAACAGCTCGCAAGGTGACAACCGACGAAGTGTTTCGGCAGGCCGTTCAGCCCACCGGCTGAGAAAGGCAGCTATCTGAGCTGGAGAGAGCCAGGAAAATGGGAGGCTGCACAACGTGACGTCATGTCAAATCCAAGTTATGCTTTTGAGCCTCTTTGGGTTCTTTTGGGGAACCACGCTGGAGGGAAGAGATCCACACTCAGCCTACTGCTCTTGTCACGGAGATCAGAATGAAGGAATTGAATCCAAACTAGCCCCCAAATGGGATTCCACCCCACAAATCGTGGCAACCAGGATAAAACCTAGAAGACTGCTACCTTGCCAGCAAGCTCCAACTACGAGCTGCGATTCTATTTTGGAAGGATGAAGCGGATAATCCTCGGTCACCGGGAAGGGGTCAAAGGAAACGCCGTCGACGTAGAGCGTGGCCACTGGAAACTCTACGTTGAGGATGTAGTGGTGCCATTCCTGATCACAAACCTGGAAGAGGAGCCAAGGGTTTAAGAAGACGGGAGGGAAACAACTCTGTATTTTATCATTCCCAAAAAACAGGACACAGATTAACAGCTTTAACTGGAGCTCCATGACAGGAAAAGTGGACAGTGGAATTACAGGCCAGGGAAGCTGTGGATTTCCCTTTGCTGGATGTGATCGAGGAAAGGCCGGACAGTTATCTGTAAGGGACATTTTAATGAGGCCCTACCCTGGCCAGGGAGCTGGATTTGATGGGCTCAAGGCCCTGTCCTATCACCATTTGCATGCAGACAGATCGTGATTCAAGACTGGGCACCTCTAGATGGGACCTGCTTGAAACCTTGGCCACGGGCCACCAATCTCATCTAGATGAACCAAAGGGCCTACCTTCCAGCCCCTTTAGGCTGTCCACTCTGCAAATCTAAAGTTTCTGGCCTTGTTTTTCAACTAGAAAAGAGGAGCTGTGGCTCCACGGAGGGGAGCTGGCCAAGAGCGGTTGAAATACTTTTGCGCCCACCTGATTCAGCCTCCAGTGGAATTCGGCCGGCTTGTAACTCTGTCCCTCGGAGGGATCCTGGCGGAAGAGGAAGACCAACCGGCAATTGTGCACGTAGAGGGAGTAACGGTGACGGTTCATGTCTGCACAAGAGGATCAGAATTAGAATTCCCTCTCCACCTCCCACGTCCAGCACATGGTGTGTAAAATGCTCCTGGCAAGTCATGGAATGAAGGTCCCTCCCAGCGTCTGGCACTACAATTGCCATGATCTACAGTCCCTGGCAACACCTGGAAGGGGCCCAGCTCTGAGCTAATAACAGGAGAAAAGCTTCCCCTTAGGCTCCACCTCCTTCCAGCTCTCCAAATGATAAAGCTACCAACGCTGCATGTTATAATGCCACAAGCCCCTGCCAGAGCAGAAACGGGACAGCGGGTCTTCCTGACACGCCTTGCAGAGGTACAGCAGGAGGGCAGGACAAATTGAAGGCTGAACATGGAAACCGTGCTCTTTTCCACTTTGCCAGCCTGCAGGCCAAGTTTCGTCGCCTCGTTCCACATCGAAAGAGACTCGGTGGCTGACTTTGCACACTGCGCTAAGCCATAAGGAGGAGGGGAGCGAAACTGTTTTGTTTTGGCTGAGGATGGTTCAGACAATGTGGCTTTTAAGTCATGCCTGTGTCTTAATATGCTGTGTGGGAATCCGACCAACTAGGGTTAAGCCAATAAACCACAACTAAGCAGCGCACCGTGTGAGCCCAGCAACCTCTTTCTCTGACACACAGAAACATGGACTGTATGTCCAAAGCAGCACCAGCTTGTTCAATAAACATTAACCATGGAGAGCAGAAGGCTTGGAGGCCTCCAAGAAAAGAAAAAGAAAGTTTTAAGAGCCAGAAGTCAACGTGCACAGTGGGAATTCTCTGCTCAACCGAAGAATTTCTCTGCAGCAACCGTAAGACAGCATATGCTTCTAATAATTATCCATTCATGTTTTCAAGCTTCCTTTTCCTAAAGTAATTATTTCCAGCATCCCAGACACCCCCCACCCTTGTTAACTGAGAGGAAACACTTGATATTGTGCGAAGCGAAGCTTACAATTCCTTCTCTGGAGCAGCTTCCCTCTGCAACTAGACCCAGGGCACGTTTGGAATAAACGCAGCCTCCTGTGTCACTATTTCTTGATCCTTCCCAAATTAAATTCATTTGGAGCCAATCCAAAGAAAATAAGAAAGAGAGAGAAAGGCAAGCGTTCCTTCCTCGCAGCCCAAAAAGCAAAGGATCTTGCAGTGACTTAACAAGGAACCACTGGATAATCTGGGTCTCTGGCAAAAGTGATCACGGTTCCTGATCGCTTACTATATGCAAGAAAAAAAACCTTACATTTTTAGGTGGCTCCAGACAAGGTAAACGAGGAACATGGACCTGATCAATCTAGTCAACATCCTGCCCCCACAACTGCCAACCCGACATTGCAGAAGGGCCTCCAACAGTAGGTGAACATCCTCCTGGGGGGTTGGAGAGACAAACTGTGATCAACTGTCAGTGAGCCACCGACAGCCTCAGCTTTCTTGAAAGCAAACTTTTTATTTTAGCTGGGGGAAAATAGGAGCCTTTTCCAAAGAGTTGGGTCAGTCTCCAAGTGACGAGGCACCCCATTTTCTTTGCTCCGCTCTGACACCCAAGCAATCACATTCCTGCTGGAATCAAGCCCGCTTTCCAAATTATGGCTTGCAATGCCCAGACACTGAACCTGTTCAGAGAATACTAGAGCCAAGGAATGCGAGAGCAAAGGAGAGAGAATGATCTTCTCTTGGGGGAGAAAAAACCAGGTCTGCTCTGGTGTCTTCCCAAATATATCAAGTAATCAGCTTGTGACATCTGCTATGGAGAAGTAAGAGTCAGTAAGGCTTCTGACTCTAACCAAGGAGAAAGGTGGGCTCTCTAGGTCACAACAAGCACAGCATCCAGACAGGCTGAAACACCACACCCACTACTGTGCTACTACAGAGAAACAATAGTTTAGTCTACTGCTCTCAAACAGATGTTGGTGCAGTTGTTCTGCCCCCCTGCTGGTTTAAGAACATTGGTGAGTGTTCTGTGACATCACAGCAGTTCTACTTCCGGGCTGAAAAGGACAGGGGCTTGATCACAAACAAAACAGGTGTCCCCCCACCACCACCCCCTTCACCTGTCTTGTCGGAGTTGCAGAGGATGGTCTCCTTCTCCTTGGCCCCGGGGCCGTGCCTCATCCACACGGAAATCACAAAAGGCTCTTTCATGCTGATGGTGACGATGCTGTCAGGAACCTTCACGGCTTGAGTGCCATTGAACTCGAAGACCTGGTCACTGTCGTGGCCGTTGTCTGTCGGGAGGTTTATTGTCCAGTTGGCCGTGTTGCTTGGGGAGGGCAGAAGCTCCGCTGTGTCAGAAGAAGCCCCTGTAATTCCGTAATAAGAACAATGAACGGGCCGTTTGAGACCGAGGAAAGAACCAGGCCGGTTTGTCTGCTATTAGTCGAAATAAAGAGTTGTCCTTCAACCCGGCAGCAAAATTCTCATTTTCGATGGGCGAATCCTTAATGCTCATCTTCAGTCCTCTGGCCCCCGCTGCGCTGAGATAAAGTGCCCGCACCTTACCGGGCACCCACAGAGAGGAAAAGGCTTCTGTGCCTCTCTCCTCCATCCGGTCTGCAGCCCAGGTCCACTCGCCTTGCCCGGCCCCACCAAGGAGCCTAGAATCTCTCTGCTTACCGCAGAGTCTGTGAAGGGACTTCTCGGAGTAAGTGTCTCGGTCACAGCCTTTTCCGATGTGGTTGGTCTCCAGCTCGACTGTGGCCTGGATAGAACTGACGGGCTCGTCACAGGTCTCCAGATGGATGTTGGGGAAGAGGGAAAGCGCTCCTGTCCCGGGCTCGTATTCCATTCTTTTGCTCCAGCCTGAAACGAGAAATGTTATAGAGAGTGGCCTTTGGTGCCTGGAGCAGCAAAGAAAGGCAGGATGACGAAGGGGCGGTGACAAGACTCACCCTGCCAGCCTGGTTTGCAGGTGGGTTTAATGCTAATCTTCACCAGCACGTCCTCGGCAGCCCTCTTCTTCCCACAGTCGTAGGCCGTCACAGTGAGCTTATATTGGTGCTCCTTGCTGAAGCTGAGCTTCTCGGTGTTCTTAATGTAACCTGGCAAAGGTAGGACATGGGTTTCAAAAACCGAGCCTTTGGAAAGGGAGAGGGAAGGACCTGGCTGTTGTGGATCAGAGGTCGCAAATAAAAACGAGTTCGCATTCTGCATCAGAGAGGAGGAAAACTAGGATAATGCCCCCCTCCAAGGTGACAAGTTGACGCGATGGATTTGAGGTCCTTTGCTAGTTTTCTCTAAGACAGCCCTGTGGCCTGCAAACTTCTCACTCACAAGCCTGGCCACTTAAAAAGGGATTTGGGCCACTATCCCAAATGCCCCCCGCTGCCTTACCATCTTTGTCGATTGCAAAGGGAACTTCCGGAGTTACAATCTCATAACTGCAGATCTGGCTGAACTGCGGGGAACAGTCGGCGTCCACCGCCTCCACCTTCAGGATGTTGTCGTACCGCTTCCCCTCGATCGCAGTCGCTTTGTAGGATTTCTCTTTAAAAACCGGGGCGTACTCGTTGACGTCGTTCACCTGGATGTGCACAGTGGCTCTGGAAACAGAGGGACAGACTCTTATTAAGGGGGAAATTCTGCGGTGGAGAGACACAAATGCAAGTGTTAACGGGGCCTAGAAATTAGGGAAGATGTCAGCCACTGAACTGGTAATCCCCAGGGCTTGGAACTACAACCCCCAACACTTGGGCAGAGTTTCCTGTTGATCTCCCATCCACCTACTCGCCAGATCCAGCTCTGCTTTACCTCTGGGGGACTGGCCAAGGACAGCTGGGCGCTACGATGGTGAAACGCAAGAGAACACCCCTAACCATAGAATCTAATCTGCCTTCAGTCGGAGGGGGGGAGTTCGAGACCCAGCAGACATGGCTAATCTACAGCAGCGTTCCTCAGCCTTGTCCACCTGAAGATGTGTGGACTTCAACTCCCAGAATTCCCCAGACAGCACAGCCAACGGGAAGGGATGTTGCAGTTACAGCTCCGTTTTTTCAACCAGAAGCGGCATGCCTTATTAAGCAATCAATTATGGGAGTTAAAGAAAGAAAGGTGTGGCCTCCATTAGCTGGAGTAGGCAGCTTTCATTAACCCCCCCCCCCAAATTTACCGAGCTGAAGGCCAACTGCCTAATTTCTTGAGGGCAAGAATTTTTAAAAGGTCAAAGGAGGGGAATGGAAGGGAGCTGTGACAATCTGCTGCCACAGAGACCCTCGTATTAGAGGAAAAACCAACAAAAGATATTCAAGATTCTCTCTCTCCATTTTGCATTTGAAGTCCATTAGAAAAACGCAGGACTTGTTTATAAAACATCAACGGGAGCCTGGATATCGGAAATTAAAATCTAAATGGGGGGGGGATATATCCTCGTATATGCTGACTCTAGCTGCACATCTTGTTTTGTACAAGGGCTGCCCTTTCAGCTGACTAAGCAACCCTCTGAAGGATCTACCGCAGCTTTTGGATTTCTTGAACCCGTCAAACAAAGATGCTTGGATCAGCTTCTCTGACCTACGGGAGAGACTCGGGATGCGTAAGACTGCTGTGGATCAGCAAAAGACAAAGGGATACATATTGGAGGACTGTACCACAAAGCATAATGCAGACAGAACGGACGGCGATCGATAGGTAGAGCTTACTTTACAAAATCAAGTGGATTAAGTAAGACCCAAGGAGCAGATTTTTTAAAAAACCACTGGATTTAGGAAAGCGTACTGAGATCCCAGTTCGTCTGGGCAAGTGTTTGCTGGAAATATTTGAAAACCAGAAGCATTTCTGGCTATGCAACCCCAGAGCATTAATATTGAAGACATTTGCTTTTATTGTTTACTGACTGTGTTTTCCAGCAGTGTTTTAGTAAAAACAAAAAAACGAAATATTAAGCGTGCCACAAGCTTCACTGGGAAAATACTGTAAAGGTTAATGTGCAGATTCTTAACACAAGGAAGATTGCTTCTGTCCTGTAAATCTTGCAAGAGAAAAGGCCTGAACATCTGTCAGAGGGATGGTGAGGTGTCGACCTCCATCAGCCATCTGGGGCCCACTGCTCTGTTCCCCCTTTTTGCAAACCATTACTTTAAAGCTGTATGACGGCATGGCTGATTTAACTCCTCTCCCCCCATTTCTTTTTCTTAAAAGTGGAAGAGGTGATTTTAACCCATGGTTTATTCTGAGCACAAGGGCAAATATGAGAGGGAAACCTGACCAACGCTGTTCTTCACTACAGCAGCGTTCCCACAATTTCCAGCGGGATTGGTTGGGGAAGACCGATCTGCAGACCGCCCTTTGTGATTTGGAACCGGTGGGTGCCAAAACGCAACTGGTGTGTGCTCTTTTCCATCACGGTGGCTTCCAGTTAGGAACCATGCATGCCCCCGCCACATGCGTACAAAACAGCAGAAACCAGATCCCATTCAGGAAAAGCGAAGCAAGCAAACCATGTTTCCAATCAGGACTTCCTTTCTCCCACCCACCCGCCGCTTACTTGTGGGATTTCTTCATATTTGTCGGATCCGGTCCTGTCCCGCAGTCGTAGGCCTGGATGGTGAAAGTATATTCCTTCTGCAGTTCGCAGTCAAGTTTCTCTTTGGATCGGATCATCCCCTCCCCGGTTGATTTATCCACCACCACCGCTTCAAAGGGGACATTTTGACCGTGAATTCTAAATCCACAAATCTCACCTAAGAGAGTCAAAGGCAGCTCGGGTTAGTATATTCGGGCAGCAAGGGAAGCGGAGACGCATCTTGAGTGGGGGTGCGTGCACGCGGATGCACACACGCGGGTGTGTTTGGAACAAATATCACTCAACCGTTGGGCAGCCAAGGGTTTTGTGAAGGGTTGCAGACAAAGCAAAGGTACCGTGTTTTGCGTTCTGGGAACTTTAGTTTGTATTTAAGAGGAAAGAAAAAGGCAAACGTTTGGCTTTCCAAGCAATTAATTTCCTTTGCATCCATTCATGCAGGAGGACGTCAAGAAAGAGAAGACAGGCATTTCACAGGAGTACTTGAGAAAGTCTAGGGCCAAGAGTTCTCAGAAAAGTAGAGAGCCAAGAGATGGTCAAGACACTGGGAATAATGCTGGGCATTTTAATGTTTTTTGACCAGAACAGTTAAAAAACACTCAGTTATCAAGTCAAGGAAGGTGAGAGTGAGGGCAAGGGGAACGTGGGGAGAAAGTTTCAAACGGATGCAGAAGATTCAGCACTGTCATTCACAAAAATTCTGTCAAGGGATTCGGGGGGGAAAGTCTTCCTGTGCAATGTACCTGATTTTAAAAAAAGAAAGAAAAAGAAAAAGTCAGGGAATCAAAATGAACTACCAGAGGAGAAAGGTAGAAATACCAATTTTTCAGGCATCCATTTCAATAGCTATTTAGTAACTCTGTGTCTTCCAGAGCCTTTCCTCTATATTTTCTGCCTGGATCTTATCTGGCAGACTGGAAAATCACTCAGTAGAAGCACAGTCACGGCATTCACACATTCTGCAAATTCAGCTCAGCGTGTTGTGTGAACCCAATTGCTACAGGAAACTATGGTTTGCAGATTAATGCACTGGGCAAACCCAACCAACTCGGGTTTATTCCTTCTTTCTAGGGTGTTCCCATCTCTTCCCGTTTCTGAACTAATCCTGGATCAAAATTCCAACTCCATGCCTCAAGGTCAGCGTGACTGAGTTGGCAGGCTCCCTGCAAAGCCACTGTTCCACTCAGTTGAAACTATCAATTTATCCACTGACCAATTCAGCAGCAGGGAAAGGAAATATTGCACCCCGAAAAGGACCAGGAGGGTGAATTCATGAGCAAGGAAGAAGTTGATCCAGAGTCACAAAGCTAGGAATATTAAAATGCCACACAGCCTGGGTTCTCTTTCCTAGCTCCATTCAGGACGATTGCACTGTTAGCTCAACGCAGGTCTTCACTGGGCACACCAACCTTTCTCATCAACTCAAATGGAATTCATATAATCCCTGGAAAAACAATGCTATTGGAGAAGATGCTCGGAAAGGCTGTGAATTCAAACCACGCCTCCTAAACACTCTGGGGTTTCAAATGGATATCTGATTTACTGATATTTCTAGCCAAGGATTACAACATAACATTTTTCTATCAATATTTTTTAAGAAGGGACTGGGGGAGCCAAGGACAGGGCAGGGGGGAAGCAGGGAAAAAAAAGTGGATAATACATGGGGCTGAAAAGCATGACAGGATCTTCTGTTTAAGTGCTGATTCCCCATTTTGTAACAAAAGTTAGTGGGTTAATATTTATAAACGGGATAGAAAGAACCCTTCATCACCTTCTTTGGTGACGGTCACCTCAAAACTCTCTAAAGGGAGAAAAGATAAACCCAAGTCTTCAGGAAAGACTGAAAAAAGGAGGAAATGAGGAAAAGGTCAAACACGTAGACATTAGACTGAAAATCTTTGAACAAAACAATCGAAATGCAGCGCTCAACCGTAAATGCAACAGAACTCCCCCCTCCCACATTCCCTCCCCGCCTCTTTTCTAGCTCAGAAACCATGGTTGAAGGAGGCCACCCTTGGACTAGTTTCAAAGACAGTTCAGACGCTGCAGCGAGTTCAAACTCCATTTTCAAACAATGCAAATAGCTGGTTTGGGGGGCTCAGAATCCACTCAGGCCACCTACCCCTGCTTGTCCACATTCTTCCCACACTCTGCAGAATGCTCTATGAGGCTCACCTGCCATCAGCCCACATTTCATCTCAAGTTCACTTTTTTTTTTACATTCTTGACCCTCTGGAATGGTCCCTGACAATCTAGATGTTGTTCACACGAGTGGGCTTCAATTCTAAGCTATGTCATGACCCTATGGTGTTTTCCCTCCACCCAACCAGGGGTTACTTTGAAAGCAGCCGACCCACCCCCGGGTATTTTCAGACCGGCCAAAACTGAAGTGAAGAAGACTCCAATGAAGGTGGTTCAGAAGCCTCAACAGAATGACCACGAGAGATGCCAACCACCGTGCCTTGCTTGAAGGTCTCCCATGGAAAATGGAGAAGTCTCTAATTCAGGCAGAAGTTTTATCCCTGGCTGTTAGGATCAAGAGTATGAAAACCAGAGCTACACAAACTGGCAATGGCCCACTGGCTTAAAGAGCTTTACCCACATTTACAAGGGATGGAGATTTCTCAACCACCAGCCAGGACAGACAGGTTGGACTCCTTCAGCAGTTTAGAGCCATGCTTCTCAACAACCCCTCCCTTCGCCTCTGTGTTTGCAGAATGCTTTTGACCTGCTTTACGCTGTCAGGGCTGACGCAGCTTGGTTCATCTGCTGGAGAGAAGGGACAGGCTGGGAAAACCCTACTTCCTGGGGCATCGACAGCGGAGTTTGCAAGCCATCACAGGTGAAACTGCGAGCTGTTCTTCTGCCCTTGAGCCAGTCCTGGCACAAACTGAGCCACCAACGGCTGAGGACGGAATGTTCTTTCCCTAATATGTATTCCAGGGGAATCTCAGAAAACTGAACATCTGGAATTAAGGGGACATTTCAAAAGCAATTCACAATACATCAGAGGCCCCGCTGCTTACGCCTTATCTAAATCTTCTTGCGTGAGGCAAGGAGGACAGCTCTTCAAATTTAGCCCTTAATTCAGTTCCAGGCAACCTGAAAACAAGTCTGAAAATGAGTTTCCTGCAGAGAGTGTTTAGTAATGGCCTTTCTAATCATGATGTACTACATTTGTTCTGTTTTTCTCAGTTTTAATACCCTAATTTTCTTCCAGGGAACTCTAGGTGCCATGTACAAGATTCTTAGTCATATCCTACCCTGGCAATCTCCAGGCATGAATCTGTTTAACTTCAGAAGGCTGCCACATTACATGCCTTCAAAGAAGGGCCCCAGACGTGTTGAGTATCTTCTGAAAATTAGCAGCCCTAGCAACTTTGATTTGTAAAGCCTCTCTTCTCGGTTCCCTCCAGACATTTTTTACTTGCCATAGGTTGCCAAAGAAGCTTCATCCCCAGGTTTGGTTGGAGCTCAATTTTAGTACCTTAGATGTGAAGGCTGTGATGCTATCTGTTGGAAAATGTGAGTAATGCCTTGTCCCGAGGGCCTTGGAAAACACCATTTTCCCAAAGGCCAGCCTGTACTTTGATGGGAAATCCACAATCAAAAGGAAAACAAACTTGCAAATTGCTGCTGTAGAGGACCCAAGATATTTAAAGAAGATATTCTTTTCCGAGTCAGCTACTGCATCCCAACCCGATTCCAGAACCAGGGGGAGTGTTTAATCTAACATGTTCTGAACATGTCGCATTTTCAATGCCTTGCGTAATGCAGAGATCTCAATCTGAGGGGGGGCTCCCTACTTTCGACTCTTTGAAACTGAGTAATACTGTATATCCAAAGGGGAGGGATGGAAAAATCCTACTGGAATTTAAAGTTGCTTTTACTAAAAAAAGTGCTGATTCAAGGCCAGAGCAAGAATACAACCCCTAATGAAAAACAGCCACTGTCCCTACAAACCTTGAACCTGCATGTTCCTCCCAGATATATTGGAAGCAGGGAGGTTCCACGCCCTGTCCTTTCTACAGCGCCTTTCCTGTACATGCTCTTGCTTAGCATCTCTATAGAATCATCCCTCTAATTTATTTTATGCCACTGAGTCAGTTTTTTACTCCTGGGGACTGCCTGGACAAGTCCCTGCAGTTTTCTTGGCAAGGTTTTTCAGAAGTGGTTTGCCCTTGCCTCCTTCCTAGGGTTGAGAGGGACTGACTGGCACAGGGCCACCCAGTTGGTTTCATGCCTAAGGCGGGACTAGAACTCACGGCCTCACAGTTTCTAGCCTGATGCCTTAACCGCTACCCCCAACTGGCTCTGAATCCAAACATCTTATCCCCTTAATGGAGAGGCTTCAAGGGGAGCTGTCTGCAGCCATTCTATTGCTGGGTACAATCCCTTCCTTTCTCAGAGGGGACGTGTGAACCCAGCCATTCATCTGGAATGCAACCACCAGCACCAGATCCAATGCTGGGTTGTCCTTGAGAACTTACAGTCCCTAACCCGTTCAATACTTTGGGGGGAGGACGCCAGTTTGGGAAACCATGCTGTGTAAGAAAGGTGAGCGGGTGCCGGATAGAAAACTTTATCTGGGGCTTGCAACCAAGCTGGGAATGGGCCTGGCTAATCAGAATGGAAATCCAATACGGAAAGGGTGACAAACCAGTTTTCTGGCTTTTCAGTGTGAATGCTGTCCGATTGGAAAACTGAAGGTGGCCAAAGGTTTTCCTTAACAAAAGGCCGATGCTGACAAATCTCCAATTTAAAGCTTATGTTACTAGTTATGAAGAGACCTAACACCACATGGTCTCCTGCACATAATCTCCTTCTGTCAAACCAAGATGAGAGGCGTCATCATCCCTTCCTTGATTCCAGTCGATTTTACTGCAAATGGCAGATTGGTGGCAGCCCCTCACAAAACGGAGCTGTTGCAGATAAAATTTGGCACTAGTTGCAACCAGACCCTCTGCCTTTCTTGATTACACAACCCAGTGAATACACTCCCAGGTTGGGTTTCACACTATTCCAAAACACACAGGTCAAATATTCACATACGAACCGTACGCAAAGTTAACTAACATGCCAATATTTCTCAAACGTATTTCTAGTTTCATTCTGCCATCTTGAATCCAGTTCCTCATAAACAAGACCCCAATCCTGTTTTACCACTTGCTTTTCTTCCACACGGATAGTGGGTTCTTTCTATTACTGAATAACCATCTATACTTCTCTACGTCAAAGGCGGCTTGGTCATCAAGAGAAGTCTGACACGCCTTAAGGCTCCCACCGAACAGCGTTACCCTAATTAAAAATGCAATATTGTTCATTATTTCCTGGAGATGCACAAGTGAAGATGCTAAGGAAGTACAAGGGGCCGCTACAGACCCTCCTCCCCTTTTCCAGTTTGGAGCTGATCTATCTATAATGTTGATATCACCATCTGTCTACTGAGCTCCTGAAGAACATCAACAGACACCAGCTCTTTGCAGATACTTTCAAGAACTCCCTACCTGCAAAACGAAGAGGTGAATCTTTATCCAGTGCTATTAACGGAGGGTCCAAGAGCACTGTGTTGTCATTTTCAGTAACAATGCCGTGGTAAGTGGTTTCAATCCATGGTTTGTGCTTGTTAACTGTAAAATTAAATAACAGAACAAGATTAATGAGAGATTGCGTGAAACAGCATATCCCAAATGCTTTCATTTATTTACACCTGTGTCTGTGATTTAAGATGTTACCCTGGAAAGCAAAGATGGAAGGCCCATCTCACTATCACCCACACTTTGATTGCCTCTCATCTGGATGACAATGTCTTCTACACGGGGCTGCCCTTGAAGACTGCTCAGAAGCTACAGCTGGTCCATGTTACAAAGGAGTGAGAGCAACCCCACTGCTTCATGAGCTGCATTACTTCCCAGTGGGCTTTTGGGTGCGATTCGAGGTGTTGGTTGTCACCTACAAAGCCCTTCAGGGCACAGGGCCAGGTTATTTGTGGGACTGCCCATCTCCAATTATTTCTATCCACCCCACAAGATTTGATAGGCTTGGCGTGCTCCAGGCCCTTTTTATTAAACAGGTTCATATGACGGGACCTGTCGTATCATTCACTGTACTTGTCCTGTGGAACAGCACACCTCACAAGATCAGGATGTCTCTGACCCTACCTGCATTTTATAAGGTGCTGAAGACATGGCTCTAAATTACTGATGCATGGCATGATATGTTTTAATTCCTGTTTCTGTTATATTTCTGAAGTTTTTAGATGACTGCTACAGAATAAAGGGTAATAATATAATGTCCCAGCTGAAAGTCTGCAGATTCTGTTGCCAGAGTTAGGTTGAAAGATTAGGGCTTTTTTTAAAAAAAAAGTCTTATACCCTACAGATAGGTTTATAATGAAGATTTAATGCAATCTTTGGAGGGGTGACAACCTTCGAACTGTTCTTGGAACACTGAAAATAGCACAAGGCTTTATCTAAAAAAAGGTTAACACAGCCCTTTTGGAGAGGGAGAACTCGTATTGATTAGATTAAAAGGAAAATAGCACCCAGAGGTCAAGTGGATCAGGACCGGCTTCATGGGCAAAGGGATGTTATTTCACTCCCAGGGGCTGATTTATCAATACACAAGAGATAACTCAATTGTATCTCTTATCGGAGGCCTTCTGCATGTAATCCTATAGCATCAGCTTTAGCATCTCTTCTAATAGTCCTTTAGTCTAACTCTAGATGCTCTTTTAGTAGCCTTGCCCAACTGGACTACAACTCCCACTGCAAGGTCCAGCATTTTGGTCCCCTGACCCAACCACGATTGGTGGACACCAAAATGGGGGAAGAATACAATTTTAGCCAGAGTTGCAAATGGAAGAACAGACAACTGAAGGCTACAATTCTGTCTGGTTTGAAAGTCTGCTTAAGAGAACATTGTTCCAGCTTTATGAAAACATGGCTGCACCATCAAGGAAGCAGGAAGATGTTCCTGTTCAAGTTCAAATGCCAGCGGCTTGACCCTGACACCTGGGGCAGAGAATAAGGGCAGCTATATCCTCCTGAACGAGCCATATCCCTATAATAATAATTTCCTTCTACACTGACACTTTTCTTAGTATCTCATCCAGTCTTACTAACCATATACAATACAGTTCATCATCACAAAATATGTAGGTATACTCCTTCAGATTCTTCTAGCTCCTCTCTTGCCAATTTTAGGTGGCGTTCAAAATCTTTGCACAGGGTAGAAAGCTACCCCATTAGCTAAGCCTCAGGGCTCCTCCAGAAGTGAGAGGAAGAAAGTTAGGAGTTGAAGAAAACTGAAGCCACAGACAAAGAAGGCAATCATGATAAGAAAGTTGTTTGTGGTTTAGGTTGAGAACCACCGGAAACCTTATAAATTGCTCAGAATCTACTTCCTGGTTATTGCTGCTGCTTATAACCTCTAATTTTTAATAACCTGGGAAAAAAGAGAAATATATTCGGTGTGGAATTAGGAACAGCTAAAAGGCTGTACTTGATCTAATGCATTTAACTGCTGAGTAATAAACATTTATAATCAATTATTGTTTATAGTTGTTCTGCATTCTCTCACTGTTGAAATGTCATGTTATTGGGGAAAAAGCAACCTGCTATTTAAGATATTTGAGGTGCATTTCTTAGACCTCAAAGAGCCACTTATCAAACAAAACATCTTTCCTAAAGCACAAAAGCTTTTAAGAAAAAAGGAAGCTCAACCCTTAAGCCATAAATTAAGACCAAGGTGAACGAATGTCATGTCAAAAATAGGGACGTTCTCTGAGACTTGTTCAGTTAGTCTCCTGTGGCAAATAAAAAATTGCTCCAGGTGACCAAGCAATTTCTTCACAAACTTCACTAACGCTCGCTCCTCATCCTCTCGTGCGGCAAATCACTGCCCCAGACAGATAGAAGTATTTTTTTTCCTTTCTTTCTACAAAGCTATATAAAAGGCAATCATTTTCTGCAAGCCTCAGGAGAGCAGTGTTAGGCATTAACTTTGCAATAAATTGCAATGGCAGCGTGTAGATTCAGGAGGGGAACCCTCAAGATTTCCCTTCTGAAAGTGCCTTTTGAAGCAAGTTTCTCGGGCCCAAACCAAAGTATTCTCCAGCAGTGTTCCTGCTGCGTTAAGAACCACGGACTGAAAATGCAGAAACCAAGAGGGGGAACCTGCTTTTATTGCTACAAAGCAACTAATCATGAAACAGGGCACCTATTTAAAAGGAAACAACTCCTGGTGGTAACTTAAGACCTATCCTAGGCCAAATTTCACAACTGCCCTCAACAATACCCCAATTCGAGAAGGTTTTGAATTCCAACATAGATGCTTTGGGACAGGTGTGGAGTGTAATGCAAAACGCAAGCCATCAAGCAAACCCAACCTTGTTCAAGCTACAGACTATGTGATTGTCTCCTCTAGTTAATCCCAAAGATTAAAACATATAATCTCTCTCAGCTTCCAGTTTTAAATCAGCAATTCACTACAGTATAGTTTCCTGAACACATATATTTGTAAACAAAGAGGTGAGGATCTAGAGGCTCATCCTACAGCCTGCATAAAGTTCCTAAAAAAAAAAAAAAAAATCCCAAAGCTAGTATCTTTTGAGTATCAGAGCTGTTCCTAAAACCAACGCACTGCATCCAAAAGACTAATCTATAGGAGGACATGAATGATTCAGGTGCCAGTAAATGGTGGATTGGCAGAAGATGGAGGGTGTCATTAAATAACTCTTCATATCTCGCGTCTCTTCTAATTTTTTCAACACAGACTTGTGTCGAGAGATTGCAAATCAGTAAATTATTGTACTTATAGGCTGAAGGCCAGTGTATATTCCCAGATTTATTTGCAAAAATTGCTCATCATTAAAGATAAAAACCTTACTAACCTGCCTTCTGCACTCATACTTACATTATGCCATAATTCAAAGATGATAAACACTGATAGACTTCACCCAACATCCCTCCTTTCACATTCAGGATTCCTTCCATAGTTGCAAGTAGAATATTATAACTCATCTTGGGAGGAAGGAAGAGATTTTCTAGCCCAGTTATTTCTTCTTAATAAATCAAAGGTATTCCTATAGCACTAGAACAGGCTGTTCTAGTATAAGGCTGCTCAGTCATTCTAAGTTTGCCTCAGCAATTTTTGCCCTCTCAATATCTCACACTAACGTAAGTATTCTTCCAGAATTTAGCCTCATCTTTATTGCATCCATAACCTTTATGAGGACAAGCTTCAAAAAGAAAAAGAAAAAAAAAAAGGAAGGAAGGAAGGAAGACTTGAAATACATTTTGGCATGGGGAATCAAAGTAGCACCACTGTTTTCCTCCCTGTTAAAACAGAAAGAATTTTAAGATAACAAGTCTTGTGTGGCCTGAAAGGCACACAAATTGTCAGAGACGACAATCCAACATGAAAACTAATGCTGTAATACATTGCTTACTTTTAAAAGTGCCAAACGATTTATTCTGGCTCTGATCATCCAGTGGAACTCTGCAATGAAACTGAATAAAATTAAGCACGGTTCTGCAGATCACTTAGGGGGAAAAAATGACACCTTTCCAGATAATGTGAAGGTTGTCCCCAACTGTGAAGCAAAATTTCAGTACGCTACGCTTTACTTGTGCCAGCTTGAAAATCAATTGAGAGTGAATACATCCTTTTGAAACAATACACCAAGGCAGCATCTAAGCCATTTCACATGGCCCTTGTTTTCAGTTTCCACATCTAAGGAAATAAAACCCTGAGGTGTTCTACAATGCGCACCCTTCCTATCTCAAGGCCAGGAGAGATCTCTCCACAAAGTGTTTTCCGGAAAAACTGCACAGGTTCAGTTCCCAGGATTTGGTGAAGGGTCTGATTTCCGGAGTCTGTCCATGGCTGGCAATCAGAAAAAAAAAATCCCACCAGCAAATATACAAACCCTGTTGCTGTATGTGTGCATTGTATTTTGAGTATAGGTTCAGCCACACACACAATCTCAGGAACCTAAAGACAGGGACTTTTTCTTTATCGCCCAAGAGAAGCAGATTCATAATACTTAGAAGTTTAACCTTCCTTGCCGGTAATAACAACCTTCCTCTCTCATATCTCTAACAGGATAACAACAAAGTGAGAGCCTTCCTTGAATTTAAATAACTGGTGAGGAAGGAAGAGAATGAGAAGTGCTTTATTTAAGGAAAACAAAGTTTGTGTTTGTGTCTGCTGCAGGCTCCCCGCCCCCCCAAAGCTGTACAATTATACCCCACAAATCTCAGGACCTAGAATGAGCCACTGATGTAAGAGACGGAAAATGGTGGTTGCTGTGGGTAAAATGATGGGGGGAAAAGAGTTCAAAAGGCTATTTTTGAATGAGTACATATTTGCAAAGGAGAATAAAGGATGCCTAAATATCAAAAAATATTCTGCATCTGGCAGAATAAGACATGTATTTACCTATCTGTTACTTATCATATAATACAAAGTGGAGAGGGCAGGATACAAACTACATAAAAGGGGGAAGGACTGCTGTTTGGATGTGGTTATGGATCGGAAAAGACAGAAGGGGAAGTAATGAAGAAATTAAATGCCCCCATGCATGATAAGCAGGTGATGAGGAAGAAGGACAAATTATCTTGGAACAGAACATTATTACGCACACAATTACCTTCTCAAGTACCCCTGAATTCAATGGGGCTTACTCCCAAGTCAGTACAACCAAACACAAGGCGTAAAAAAAGTAAGTATGGTCATAAAGATGAAGGCAAAAGTTTTGCTGTACATTTTTAACACTCCTTTTGCTGGCTGTCCACATAAAACGCCTTCAAAGGTTATTAAACCACGCATTAACGTACTGTTGCATTTGTAGCGTACTATTATACGTTATATGATAATGCACATTCAAATATTCTATGACATGTACAACGTACGTACGACCAACAATGCAAACATCATGCCTGACCCCACTGCTCCAGACGGTGCTTTACCCTGACCGTTTTAAGGCTTTGTCAGTTGTGTTTTCTATTGTTATACTTTTAACGTGATTCTTACAATCTCTGTAAGCTGCTCAAGAGCTGTTAAGAGCAGCTCTGCCATCTTTCCTGGCATGTGGATATACGGAAATGTAATAACGTGCATCCTCTGTATTGAGGCCTCTATCAATCAAATTCCAATATTGTGCATGTATCTACGTAACACACACGCAACACTGCATCTGTGAAGACCAGGCTGCGCATTGACGGAATGCAAAATGGTGACTCTCTCTTGGATTGCAATGTTGTGCGTATACCACGGCTTCTCTTTCGAATCGCAATCCTACGCCTGTGTGACACAACACTGCACCTCCTCTGATGCCAGTCCTGTGCACGCAGAACACAACGCTGTGAAGGGTCTCCCAAATGCAATCTTATCTCTAACAAATCCCTGCGCCTCCTCTTTCAGATTGTGTATAGGTCACACAACGTTTGACCTCCTTGCTCGGACAGGGCACCTGCTCACGGATTGCGATCCTGTGCAGAGAGCACACCACATTGCGACTTCTTTCCAGCAGCAACCCTATCTATTTATCCATCTCGGTGCCTATATCACAGGCTTGCGTGGTCCTGCCTCGGACTACAACCCCGTGCGTGTAACAGCGCTGCGCCTCCTCTCTCAGACTGCGCGTACGCAACACAACATTTGGCCTCCTCTCCCGAGCCGGGCACAGGGGACCCGACATTTCGCATCCCCTCTCCGACGGCGCCCATGCACAACGCGCGGCACCCGCGATCCTGTGCAGAGAGAACGCAACGCGGTGGCTTCAGCAGCCCCATCCGTCCGCCTCTACATCCGTCGATCTGCCGCTGTGCATGGACCACACACCTGGGGGAATCTCCTTCTGCAAGCCCGTGCAGAAGGGAACACAACCTGGCGAGTTGCGACCTGCAGCCCCATCTACCTGCTGTACGTCTCCATCCAGGGAGCTACCACACACCTGGGCAACTCCCTCCGCCGCCCCGCGCGCAGATTCCGCGCAGCCCCGCGCCCCCCCGCCTTCGCCGCCCCGCGCGCA